CCTTGGTCAGGATCTCTTGCTCTTTCCCGTCATCTCCCCAGAGAGGTGGCCACAGCAGTGCTAAGCTGCACGGCGTGGGCAGTGCCTGCTCCGAGTCCCATGGTGGCACATGGCAGACTCTTAGGACAGACATCAGAAAGCTAGTCTTCCATCATGTTTTAGGATAGTTGCAGAATTTTAAAATATTTAAAGCCAGGTGTTTCTGTTTCTTTGTTTTTGCTGCAGCTCTGGGTTCTGTGTAATACCATCTCATGAATAACATTTCTCTCATCTCTGAAAGTGAATTTGCCTTTTGGAACATTTACTGAAAGCCATTGTAACTGGACCTAGAACCTCAGTTTCAGTTTAACAATCCACAACCCCCGAGAATGCACTGTATTGCTTTAGTGTAGATGAACTTTTAAAGTGACTGTCTTTCTTCAGATTACAGAGTTGGTTCACCAGAGAGACGTTACAAGGTCCTTGATCAAAAGCAAGATTGACAACGCCAAATCTTTTGAATGGCTCAGCCAGATGCGATTTTACTTTGACCCTAAGCAAACTGATGTGTTACAGCAGTTGTCAATTCAAATGGCAAATGCCAAATTTAACTATGGCTTTGAGTACCTGGGTGTTCAGGACAAACTGGTCCAGACCCCCCTCACTGACCGCTGCTATTTGACGATGACACAAGCCTTGGAGGCCAGGTTGGGGGGTTCCCCATTTGGTAAGTTCTTCCACAGATCTGGACAGATGGAATCATGTATTAAAATGTTTGAAGATAAAACTAATGATTTGAATGTACTTCTTTTTTTTTTTTTTTTTTTTTTTTTGAGATGGAGTCTCTGTCGCCCTGGCTGGAGTGCAGTGGCGTGATCTTGGCTCACTGCACGCTCTGCCTCCAGGTTCAAGAGACAGGTCTTGCTCTGTCACCCAGGATGGAGCACGTGGTGCAATCTCAGCTCACTGCAACCTCCTCCTACCAGGTTCAAGTGATTCTCTTGCCTCTGCTTCCTGAGTAGCTGGGATTACAGGTGCCCGCCACCACACCCAACTAATTTTTGTATTTTTAGTAGAGATGGGGTTTCGCCATGTTGGTCAGACTGGTCTAGAACTCCTGACTTCAGGTGATTTGCTCGCCTTGGCCTCCCAAAGTGCTGGGATTACAGGCATGAGCCACCATACCCAGCCTCTGACAGTTTTCTGAGTGGCATCTTTTCCTTTCAGAGTAGTTTGCTTAGGCTGAATTGGGCAGATTTTTTTAAAAATTGGTTAATAGGCTGGGCGTGGTGGCTCACACCTGTAATTTCAGCACTTTGGGAGGCAGATCACCTGAGGTCAGGATTTTAGGATCAGCCTGAACAACATGGTGAAACCCTGTCTCTACAAAAATACAAAAGTTAGCCAGGCATGATGGTGGCTGCCCGTAATCCCAGGTACTCGGGAGGCTGTGACCGGAGAATCGCTTGAATCCGGGAAGCAGAGGTTGTAGTGAGCCGAGATTGTGCCACTCCACTGCAGCCAGGGTGACAGAGCAAGACTCCGTCTCAAAAAAAAAAAAAAAGAGTTAATAAAGTAACTTACTAAGGCAGATGACATGCAATTCTTTGCATTCGTTGAATTCCTCTTACTTCAAGATCTTGTTAGGTAAGTGTGTATCTTTTGCCAAGGACTGGAAGAAATTTCGATGTGGTTTGAATTTGGGCTGGAGATTGCCACCACCAGCCACATCTTCTTTCCCTTCCTGCAGTTTGAAATTTTGCCTTGATTCACCTTATATGTGTATATCATATTTTAGCAACTTGAGTGTTATTTTAATTTTAGGTTCTATTTTGTGGGTGATGAAGATTTGCTTGAAATCATTGGAAACAGCAAGAATGTCGCTAAATTACAGAAACATTTCAAGAAGATGTTTGCTGGAGTTTCGAGCATCATCCTGAACGAGGATAACTCTGTTGTTTTGGGTATTTCATCTCGGGAAGGAGAGGAGGTAAATTTCTGTTTGTAACTTTTAAAACTTCTGTCACATTTTTGCACACCTCATTTAAAATTGTTATTTTAATTTTATTTCTTCACTTATTTCAGGTTCTGTTTAAAACTCCTGTGTCAATTACTGAGCATCCCAAAATCAACGAGTGGCTCACGCTGGTAGAGAAGGAGATGAGGGTCACCCTGGCCAAACTGCTTGCTGAGTCTGTTACGGAAGTTGAGATTTTTGGTAAAGCAACTTCAATTGACCCAAATACCTACATCACTTGGATTGATAAATACCAGGTAATCTATAGTAGAAGTGAGTGGGGTCATGGTGAAAACGCGGACCAATCTTTAAAATGATCTTTTGGGATCTTGTTCCTGTGTCTTTCAGGCCCAGCTTGTGGTTTTATCAGCCCAGATAGCCTGGTCTGAGAACGTGGAGACCGCACTGAGCAGCATGGGCGGAGGTGGAGACGCCGCGCCCTTGCACTCCGTGCTGAGCAATGTGGAGGTCACCCTCAATGTGTTAGCAGACTCTGTCCTCATGGAGCAGCCCCCACTCCGAAGGCGGAAGCTAGAACACTTGGTTAGTCTCGCACCAGACTCCTTCCTTACCAGTTAGACTCTTACACCCTCAACCATGCAGTTAAGTGGAAATCATGCTTGAAAAAGGTTTCAGATAGTATCAAGGAGAACAGTGGACGGTGTACGGATATCCTCTGAGGGTGGGCATTTGGCTCCCTGTCCCTATTGAAAGGTAATCTCAGGGGCATGCGGGGGTTACATGACATCACGGTAGAGAGGAAGGGATCAGCCTTGGTCAGGATCTCTTGCTCTTTCCCGTCATCTCCCCAGAGAGGTGGCCACAGCAGTGCTAAGCTGCACGGCGTGGGCAGTGCCTGCTCCGAGTCCCATGGTGGCACATGGCAGACTCTTAGGACAGACATCAGAAAGCTAGTCTTCCATCATGTTTTAGGATAGTTGCAGAATTTTAAAATATTTAAAGCCAGGTGTTTCTGTTTCTTTGTTTTTGCTGCAGCTCTGGGTTCTGTGTAATACCATCTCATGAATAACATTTCTCTCATCTCTGAAAGTGAATTTGCCTTTTGGAACATTTACTGAAAGCCATTGTAACTGGACCTAGAACCTCAGTTTCAGTTTAACAATCCACAACCCCCGAGAATGCACTGTATTGCTTTAGTGTAGATGAACTTTTAAAGTGACTGTCTTTCTTCAGATTACAGAGTTGGTTCACCAGAGAGACGTTACAAGGTCCTTGATCAAAAGCAAGATTGACAACGCCAAATCTTTTGAATGGCTCAGCCAGATGCGATTTTACTTTGACCCTAAGCAAACTGATGTGTTACAGCAGTTGTCAATTCAAATGGCAAATGCCAAATTTAACTATGGCTTTGAGTACCTGGGTGTTCAGGACAAACTGGTCCAGACCCCCCTCACTGACCGCTGCTATTTGACGATGACACAAGCCTTGGAGGCCAGGTTGGGGGGTTCCCCATTTGGTAAGTTCTTCCACAGATCTGGACAGATGGAATCATGTATTAAAATGTTTGAAGATAAAACTAATGATTTGAATGTACTTCTTTTTTTTTTTTTTTTTTTGAGATGGAGTCTCTGTCGCCCTGGCTGGAGTGCAGTGGCGTGATCTTGGCTCACTGCACGCTCTGCCTCCAGGTTCAAGCCATTCTGCCTCAGTCTCCTGAGTAGCTGGGATAGCAGGCACGCGCCATCACTCCAGGCTGATTTTTGTATTTTTAGTAGAGATAGGGTTTCACCATGTTGGCCAGGCTGGTCTCGAACTCCTGACCTGGTGACCCACTCACCTCAGCCTCCCAAAGTGCTGGGATTACAGGCGTGAACCACCACACTCGGCCTGAATGTACTACTTAATTATGTGGTGTGTACATTCTAAAATCTTAGATTTGTTTGCATTTATTACTACTTTGATTTTTTTTTTTGAGACGGAGTCTTGCTCTGTCACCCAGGCTGGAGTGCACTGGTGCAACCTTGGCTCACTGCAACCTCCGCCTCCCGGGTTCAAGCGATCTCCTGCCTCAGTCTCCCGAGTAGCTGAGACTATGGGCGTCCACCACCAAGCCCGACTAATTTTTGTATTATTAGTAGAGATGGAGTTTCACCGTGTTAGCCAGGCTGATCTCGAACTTCTGACCTCAGGCAATCCGCCCGCCTCGGCCTCCCAAAGTGCTGGGATTACAGGCGTGAGCCACCGCACCTGGCCACTACTTGGATTTTTTAAATGAGTTGCTTTTTATAGTTATTTTAAAGCTAAAGATATGTTTTCAGTTAGGTAATGAACTCAAGCATTCTGTTGCTTTTCTTTAAACAGGACCTGCTGGAACTGGGAAAACAGAGTCTGTCAAAGCTCTTGGCCATCAGCTTGGACGGTTTGTTTTAGTTTTCAACTGTGATGAAACCTTTGATTTCCAGGTGAGACGCTTTATGGGATCCACCTAAAATCTAATGCCCTGCGGGGATTGTTTGGGGAATATCAAGCTCGTACCTGTGAAAGCCATTTAGTTGCAGCTCAGCATGGTTTGTATGGCCTCCTGAGCCCTGTAGTAGCGATAGGTGTTATTTTGAAGTGTTTGAGGTGTCCAGCATACATGCTTTGAAGTTGACTTTAGTTTCATGTTTTCAAAGTTAGATTTTTAGTGTAATATTTTTGTAAAATGTCGGTTTTTTGAAGACATTTTTAGTGCCTGTGTCTTGGAATTAGCACATGTTATGGAGGAGGTTTATCTTTATTCGACAAAAAGTGATAGAATAAAAACAGTAGCTTTGTCATTGAGATTTTATTGGCACAGAAGGAAAGAAGGTATTATACTTTTCATCTGTCATGATAATGGCTATTGTTCATGAAGTAGCTGCTGTGTGTGGGCACTGGGCCCCTCACCTGAGATGTGACTCTAATTTATCCTTCACAACCACCATGGGAGGTAGGTAGTAGTATTCCCATTTCAAAGATGGGGAGATATGCGTTTCAAAAAGATGTGACTTGCCCAAGGCCAAACAGATCGTCAGAGTCAGGATTTGAGCCCCATGAAGCCAGCACTGAGGCAGGTGGTATGGGAGTCTGCTCAGGCCACCATATCCAAGCAGCACAGGCTGTGTGGCTTAACAATAGAAATGTATTTCCTCACAGTTCTGGAGGCTGGGGAGTCCGAGATCAAGGTGCCAATGGGGTTCAGTTCCTAGTGAGGGCCCTCTTCCTGGCTTGCAGATGGCTGTTTTGTCCCCACAAAGCCTTTCCTCGGAATACAAGCATGGAGAGTATTCTGATTCCTCTTCCTCTTCTTATAAGGGCACCAGTCCCATGGATAAGCGGCCCAACCCTCATGGCCTCATTTAACCTTAGTACATCCTTACATGCTCTTTTGCTAAAGACAAACCCACTAGGGTAAGGGCATCAACATACTAATTTGTGGCAAGGGAGAGGGGGAGACAATTTAGGGCACAGCAGGTGGTTTTAGCTTCTTTCTTCCTCTCCTTTCCAGGCAATGGGCCGGATCTTTGTGGGCCTTTGCCAGGTGGGTGCTTGGGGCTGCTTTGACGAGTTCAACCGCCTGGAGGAGCGGATGCTGTCAGCTGTGTCCCAGCAGGTGCAGTGCATACAGGAAGCACTGCGTGAACATTCCAGCCCCAACTACGACAAGAGTAAGACACCTCTTCTTCGAAGATTACTTAGAGAATGTAGAGAGAAATTCCCTTGTGAACTGATTTTTTACCTCTTGGATTAGAAATAGGAATTTAGCTCACAGGAACTCACTATTATAGGCAGTATAGTGAGCCGTGGTTAAAGACGAAAGGTAAGAAACCCAGGCCAGGTGTGGTGGCTCACGTGTGTAATCCTAGCACTTTGGGAGGCCAAGGCAAGCAGATCACTTGAGGTGAGGAGTTCAAGACCAGTCTGGCCAACATGGTGAAACCCGTCTCTACTGAAAATATAAAAATTAGCCTGGCGTGGTGGTGCACACCTATAATCCCAGCTACTCGGGAGGCTGAGGCAGGGAGAGTCCCTTGAACCCAGGAAACAGAGATTGTAGTGAACTGAGATCATGCCACTGCACTCCAGCCTGGGCCACAGAGCAAAACTGTTCCCCCCAAAAAACCCAGGACTGTTCTGCGTCACCGCTTTCAGTCCTTGTTCTAGGGCAGCAGCATAGAGGTTTCTATGTCCCAGGACAACCAAAAACCTGAGCAGTCCTTCCTCAGCCAGGCAGATGCCCCCGTGCTCCCTTACAGCTTGTGTGTGCCCTCCATGGCCTTTGCCACGGGATGAGTGTGTCCTCTGGTGTGGGCCCTCGGTGCCCCCTCTTCCTTCCCACATCGTCAGAGAGCCAGCCTCCCCAGCCACCTGTCTGGCCAGTGTTCTGCCGTCTGTCTTTGGAAACAAGCCCTTTATCACGATAGGAGCAGCTGTCAGAGAGGCCCCAGGGACCACTTCCCTTCCCGGTTCAACACAAAGGCCCAGCATACGGGTCAGGGAGGGTGGGATGCTGAAGGAGGCAAACATTTAGGTATTGGGTAGGTGTGAAATTCTGTCTTAGGTACACAGTGTAGCTTTTAATGTTTCCTTTTATTGCATAATAACAACTTGCCTTATGGAGAATTCCCCGGACCTCCTAAGTAAAACAAAAGGAGTGGGAAAGAAGAAAGCACAGCACTTGCCTTTGCGATCAGTGTTCTCTTAAGGCGAGAATACACTTTGTTCCTAAGTGGCTCAGAGGTGCTTGGAGGTTTGGGGTTCTTTTTATTTTGTCGATGCTAGGAACAGGTAATTCCCATGATCTAAGCCAGTCAGTGTCGCGGCATTTATTCCTTTTTATTTTTGCACATTTGTGGACTGCATCTGTATCTTGAGTTCTCTGTGACACTCAGTGTTGTGTTGCCCAAATAACATAGTGGTCTCTGCCTCTGGTGGCTTGACCTGGGACACGTGCACGTGAGGTGCATGGGAATGGGTCCACCTGGGCTGGGAGAGCGTGGCTGGTGGTCCCTGAAGAAAGGCCAGAGAGCAGCCCCCCAGGAAGCCTCTACTCCAGCTCCCGGGGAGAACGAGAGCTTTGTCTGTTGTTTTAGAGACATTTTAGAATGGGGTTTTTTGTTTGTTTGTTTGTTTGTTTTTTAACATTTCTAGCCTTAACACTGTCATCTCGTTCTCAGCCTCTGCCCCCATTACTTGTGAGCTGCTGAACAAACAAGTCAAGGTGAGCCCGGACATGGCCATCTTCATCACCATGAACCCTGGCTACGCGGGCCGGTCTAACCTTCCTGACAACTTGAAGAAGCTGTTCCGGAGCCTGGCAATGACCAAGCCCGACCGGCAGTTAATCGCCCAGGTCATGCTGTACTCACAGGGCTTCCGCACTGCTGAAGTGCTTGCCAACAAAATCGTCCCATTTTTTAAGTAAGTAGCCTAGAATTCTTCATAATCATATTTCTTACATGTGATAAATGTGCCCATTTAACCTTAAAATTTTTTTTTTTTTTTTTTTTTTTGAGACGGAGTCTTGCTCTGTCGCCCAGGCTGGGGTGCATTGGCATGATCTCAGCTCACTGCAAGCTCCTCTGCCTCCTGGGTTTACGCCATTCTCCTGCCTCAGCCTCCCGAGTAGCTGGGACTACAGGCGCCTGCCACCTCGCCCGGCTAGTTTTTTGTATTTTTTAGTAGAGACGGGGTTTCACCATGTTAGCCAGGATGGTCTCGATCTCCTGACCTCGTGATCCGCCCGTCTCGGCCTCCCAAAGTGCTGGGATTACAGGCTTGAGCCACCGCGCCCAGCCAACCTTACAATTTTTATGTGTAATGATGGTACGTCTTTCAAAATATCCATCTCTGATTTCTTGACACTTGACCCTATTATTGTTTAAAGTATACTGCTTTTAAAGAAAGCCTTTTATTCTTCTTATCTAGACTATGCGATGAGCAGCTATCTTCCCAAAGCCATTATGACTTTGGTCTTCGGGCTTTGAAGAGTGTGCTGGTGAGTGCAGGCAATGTGAAGAGAGAGAGAATCCAGAAGATAAAGAGGGAGAAAGAGGAACGAGGGGAAGCAGTTGATGAAGGAGAAATTGCTGAAAATCTCCCTGAACAAGAGGTTCGTTTTGATCATTCAAACCTTATACATTATTTAAATTTACCTTTTTAACATTTAAGCCATGACTTGTGGGTTCTTCTTGTGGTTCACATGTCTTGGGATGACTGGAATCGACTGGAATGTTGGCCCAGTGAGTTGAGTGCACGAATGTGGGCGAGTGATGGTCGCACCCTTTGTTCACCAACAGTTACCGATCACGCATCTCCTGGGGATGCAGCGGGCGGCACTTAAGCCGTGCTCCACTGCTCACAGCCCAGCCCTCTCCCCGTAGATTCTGATACAGAGCGTCTGTGAGACGATGGTGCCGAAGCTGGTGGCAGAGGACATCCCGCTGCTCTTCAGCCTCCTGTCGGACGTGTTCCCTGGAGTCCAGTATCACAGGGGTGAGATGACTGCCCTTCGAGAAGAGCTGAAGAAAGTGTGTCAGGAGATGTATTTGACATATGGAGATGGAGAAGAAGTTGGTGGAATGTGGGTTGAAAAGGTAACTCGGATTGTTTCCTTGACCACTGCCCTCACAGACCCTGCTGGCCTTAGTGTCCAGTAATGACAACCATGGGCCCTTTGATGAAACTGTCCACAGAGGCTGTGGAGGTGCATAATATGCTTTATGAAGATTTGCCCAAGGCCTATTTGAATTTTTTGTTGTTGTTGTTTAAATGAAGAGGAAACAATACTTAACCTGAAAATTTTACACGATACAGTTCGATTTCTGAAAATGCTAAGTGCATGACTATTTTGGAAAGTTGTTTATGCTGGTAAAAATTCTGCTTACAAGACTTTCCAGTGCCAGAGATGAACAGCCTAAATTGCTGATCAGTAAGTAGTTTACATTCTGTATTGGCTTCTTTTCTTACTCTATGTGATTCATTTAAGAAAAAGTTTATTGTTTACACAAGCTGTGTGTGTTTAGCCTGAGAGACGCTGTACGGGATTGAACATACAGCTCATCCATTCAGTCTCTCGTCCTTGGCGGGATCTGATGTGTCCTTGTTGAGGCTGCTCGTTGGTGTCTTGTCCCACTGGCTCCAGCCTTCCTGACTTACTAAAGAACTCGCCAGTTTGGAAATGTTTGTTTTAGATGTGGCCTATGTAACATCTCTCCAGTTGGGGAGTTTCAGTACTTGCCTTTAAAAATCCATAGATAGCGCGGTGGCTCACGCCTGTAATCCCAGCACTGTGGGAGGCCAAGGCGGGCGGATCACGAGGTCAGGAGATCGAGACCATCCTGACTAACACGGTGAAACCCCGTCTCTACTAAAAATACAAAAAAATTAGCCGGGCATTGTGGCAGGTGCCTATAGTCCCAGCTACTTGGGAGGCTGAGGCAGGAGAATGGCGTGAACCCGGGAGGCGGAGCTTGCAGTGAGCCGAGATTGTGCCACTGCACTCCAGAATGGGCAACAGAGCAAGACTCCGTCTCAAAAAAAAAAAAAAAATCTTGATTTAGTCAGCAGCTGTTTTAAAATCCTTCCCTGACCAGGATCATCGACAGCGTGAGAGGCGAGCTGCAGAAGCGCCAGTGGATCGTCTTCGATGGCGATGTGGATCCAGAGTGGGTTGAGAACTTGAACTCAGTGCTGGATGACAACAAGCTCCTAACTCTGCCCAATGGAGAGCGCCTCAGTCTTCCACCCAATGTAAGTAGCCTTTTGTATGTCATCAACTGAATAATTCCTTTTGGCCAACTAAAATTCATACGCTAGCTAAGTGCAGATCTGGAGTCGTGGACCCAGATTCCGTGGAGTAGCGATCATTGTGTAAGTAATTTTCAAAGGCAGCATCTCAACTGCTAGATTTTTTTTTCCATTTCCATGGCTAGTGAGAAACATTTTAATAGGTTTTATTAATGGCTTTCTATCATTTATGGAATAAAAAGCACATTCTGTGATTGTCGGTTAACCTTGTATGGTGGGGTTGTCGTTAGGGTTTCTTAAGCTATTATACATCTAAAAAGTTGGGAAAATGAGAAATTTGGAATGGGGCTTTCTAGGCTGTCTCTTGGGAAATGAGTGCATGGTGCAGGTGCCTGACAACACCTACTGATCAATAAACACAGCCAGGCCCGGTGTAGATTTGCACTGAGTCAGACCCTGTTGTAGATGCTGAAAATACAGCAGTAAGAAAGCAAGAAGACAGGCCGGGCGTGGTGGCTCACGCCTGTAATCCACTTTGGGAGGCCGAGGCAGGCGAATTACGAGGTCAGGAGATCGAGACAATCCTGGCTAACATGATGAAACCCCGTCTCTACTAAAAATACAAAAAATTAGCTAGGCGTGGTGGCGCATGCCTATAATCCCAGCTACTTGGGAGGCTGAGACAGGAGAATCGCTTGAACCTGGGAGGCGGAGGTTGCAGTGAGCCGAGATCACACCATTGCGTTCAAGCCTGGGCAACAGGAGCGAAACTCCATCTCCAA